TTCATCCATTGTTTGTTATGCGACCTTGTCTTAAGGCATTGCTCAATCATTTACATGTACTATCCCACCCAGGTGTGTGAGCTACATTCAAACTAATAAGTGAGTGTTTCGTATGGCCAAAGATGAATTCAGGCATTACATAATATTTTTTATTTTGAATAAAGCTTGATACCACACCGTATTTTCGGTACAACTATGAAATTTTCAGCATGTGATATCGGTAGCCAAAATTTTGCAGGCCGACCATAGATATCAGGTGTGCGTCGGCAGAGGATCGAACCCCGGACCATGAGCATAGTCGGTGAGAGTCCTAAACACTGTGTCCCCGACTCACTAATAGGCACACAAGTGTCTACAGTGCTGATGCTCGAAAGTCCATAGACACACGGCTACCATACCTCAACAGTTTTTTATTCCATAAATACGATTCCAACCGTGTACACAGAGATATAGTTGGCCCGTTGTCAAATTCTAAGAGTAACATGAGCTTATCCGACTACTAGTCCACCGCATATCTAAGTGCGTGACAATGCTCTCACTTAGACTCGAAGTGAAGTATTCATCGTTATGTAAAGACTGGGAGAAACGATAATTCTATCAGTTATTATTATTATTGTTCCCTTGGGTTCCTAGTGAGACATAGCGCTTCAACTGCACGTCTCCGCTTGCTTCTTTCTTCCTTCTGCTGTACTTTTCACCTGCATCCATCTTAGTCCATACTGTTTCAACTCCTCTTCACACGATCTCCTCCATGTCACCCTTGGACGTCCCACTCGCAGCAGGTTACGCGCATGATAAATTTGTCATAATCGCAGAGGAGTGGGTTAGAATACACTCACAAATTAATCAACAAACGTATCAGAAGACAAATTTCACTAGATGATATCATCATTTCGTAATTGTTTTACAACCGCTTTACACAACTAATATGGTTTACAGTAATAATAAAATAAAGTGCCTGACAATTACTCAGTTATATAAAAGAAGCTTTTTTAGTGCGACCACCAAAACAATGTCATCGGGTCAAGTATTTGTCCTCACTCCAGACCTGATAGGCCCCACTGATCACGACTTCTCACTAGAGCTCCAGGTAACCGTAACCTGTAACCAGTCACTAGTGTACTGACGACGAGTCCAAAACTAGGACGAAACAGCTAGCTTAATCAACATAGAATCTTAATTCACCAATGTTCCTCTTCATGAAACCGTTGATTTCATTTGCGATTGCATCCCAAGCAATGGGATAAACTTACCTGTTCCTGTCACTTACATCAAAGATAATATCTCTATCACTTAATTACTCTATTTGATCATATTCATCCAAATATCCGAGTGACTTCCGAGCTAGAATCGAATAACAAACTCTCTTTCCTGGGTATCTCAGTGACCAGGAGAAATGATGAAACGATTAAGCGATCTATTTTTCACAAACAGACATAGAGTGGACAATATCTTCATTTTACCAGTTTTGTTCCTATCCAGTATAAACGTTCCTTATTGAGTGAAATGTTTGTTTTCAAGGTCACGCAAAATATGTACAAGCGATACATTGATGGATGAGCTTCGACATATATATTCAGTTTTATTAGCTGATGGTTATCCAGAAAACTTTATCACTTGTCACAGCAAGGACAGACCATATCTAGAAAGGACAGCTTCTGTACCGAAGAAAGCTATCTATCTATATTAACCTACCATTCAAGGGAGACCAGATTATTCAGTTGACAGTTAGCTTAAAGACTTCGATGAGCCATAAAACGCACATTCTACGCTGCCACATCTCTTTTTCTCATTCGCCGAACATTTTCGATCCCTGTACTTACGATTAAAGGACGAAATTCTGTGGACTGTACTTCACACTGTATCTACAAGTTCACCTTCAGTTGCGGTGACACTTACATAGGTAGAACCAATAGGATGTTCCAATGTGGTCGTCGAAAAGAACATGTTCCAAAATGGTTATTAAGACATATAGAGAATCCCAATGCAATTATTAGTCTGAATAGAAATCCATCATCAGCCATTGAAAAGCACTTATTAATATCAGGTCACAAAATCAACATTATTAATGACTGTTTCACAATTATTTCACCACATAACTCTGATTCAAGGTTGGTTGGTTATTGAAGGTGATGGAAGCGCCTACCATGGACTAACTACTTGACCTTTTTACATATCATTGGTTATTAGTGTGTACTTTTGCTTTTTATTAAACTGAGTAATTGTCATGAACTTTATTTTATTTCATTATTGTGAAACAAGTTAGCTGTAAAGCGGTTGTGAAGAAACTACGAAATGAAGCTTTCATCTCTCACAAAAATTTGTATTCTAAATGCCTTATTCAAATTTATCAGAGGGCCTAAATGTTTTAAGTATCTGAAGACATCAAATTCGCAATATGCCTTTCTAAGATGTCTTAGTCAAGAGGACAAACACAAGTGAACAGGACATCAACCCGCATTGACCAAATACTCAACTGAAATGGCGATAATCTAACGACACAGAAACAAAACTGTGTAAAATGTCATTGAAAACGAAATCTGAAACACGCTGCAGCGCTCCTGTTCTGAGGAGACTAGAAATACTTATTAACTGACTTCAAGTTATGTGGATACCCCTACTATTCCGCCAAAAATTCTTTCTATCATTCGCATATAAAGAATGTTTGTGAAGTAACGGCCAGAATGGTAAAGTTATTAGTAATAATAATAATAATAATTTGCTTTATTCCCAAACAGTACTTGTTATAGAGAATGGAATTCTCAGCATTTCACTACAGTATTGCGTCCTGTTAGTACATTATCGATAAATAAAATTCTACATAGATTAAGATAATCTCAGTTCATTATGACAACAGCATATCGGCATGTCGGTAGCAAAGCCAAAATTGAACAGAATTTTTGAAGGTGTTAGAAAAGTAGATGCTAGCATATTTACTGGCGTTAGCGGTAACAAAAATATCGAGATATACAGAGTGTGAGAGAACGAAGGATGTTCTAATAGCGTTAGTAAGGAAGTAAGAAACAAAGCTGCACATAAGAGAGAAAAAGAGAGAGAGAGAAAAGGAAAAGAAAGAAAGAAAACGTTGTACCTATAAATGATATGAGTTGGAATGACGAGATCCAATTGTTCTACTGACTATTTAATGAGTTATAAGTTTCACGCCTAGTGCTTTCTTATTTATCACACCGAAGACTAGCTAAGTACAGTATGGTTGAGTTTTTGTACTTTCTAGTGCGAGCATATAGTTTCCTATATAGGCTTCTGGTTCTGCCCGATGAGATACAAAGGGAGAGTTGTGAATGAAGAGGGTGGTGTGAGTTAAATAGATAGAACGGATTTAGCCCATTTTCCAAGTGTCTGTCGTCTAGAATATTAACAAGTTGATTGAGTGGCACATTGCTTACCCAGCTGGCAACCTTTAACATCCTGCGTAATAAGGTATAGTCTTTCTTCAGTAGCCCTGAAAAAGCTAAGGGGGAAAAATAGAGAATAATGGACAGGATGCAAGAGTTAACGAATCGTAGGATTAAGGGTTGGGTTATTCCAGAATGTCCTAACTTCTGAATGTAGAAGGTAAAACGGAATATTTTCTCAGAAATCATCAAGATATGAGACGACCAGGAAAGATCAGCAGATAGAATGACGCCTAGGTATTTAATCTCTGACTTGATATCTATTTCAGTGCCATCTATGTTGCACACCTCGTGAGTGCTAACCAGTTTGTTTAGGTCAGATTTATGCGTAAAGGTGAAACTGACTGTTTGACATTTAGAGGGATTTAAGGTTAGACCGTTTCCCAAGGATCACTGGCTGATTTCTGATAAAAAGCCATTTAGTTTAGAGCAGTCACTTTGACATTTGACAGGCAAAGATACAGTCAGGTCGTCAGCATATTTGACAAAATTAATGTCATTTGAAGATGGTAAGTCATGTAGAAAGAAAAGAGAAGTGGGGAGAGTACAGCACCTTGGGGGACACCAGCTTCAGCGAGCACAGCATAGGAGGATTCGCCTTTGTATACAGCATACTGTATTCTGTTAGAGAAGTAGGAATGCAACCAGTTTGTGACCCAGGACTCAGTTTTTGTCATCGAGAGCTTATTTAGCAAGAGACATCTAGGTACAGAGTCGAAAACAGAAGTGAAGTCGAGAAAGGTGCAGTGGACATATTTCGCACCTTTATCTAATGGTGAGACGATACTGTTGTGTAACACGACTGCAGCGTCTAAAGTGCTCCTGCCCTGTCTATAGACAAATTGTTTGAGGTCTTCAAAACTTTTAAGGGAGGGTTCGAGTTTAAGAAGTACTAGTTTTTCCATAAGCTTTAGAAACTGGGAAGTGATGGCAATGGGTCTGAACTTTACGTCCTTGCTATTGATAGGTTTAGGGACAGGGACTATTTTAATGTCTTTCCATGCAACAGGTACAACGTTTTTGGAGAAAGAAGCATTTAGGATGTTAGTTAGTGGAGAACATAAAGCATCTGCACATTGTTTTAGAACATATGCAGGTACACCATCAGGGCAAAGACTACGTGAGAGCTTAAGCGTTTTAAGAACATCGAGAGTTATCAGCTACATGATCAGTTACTTTAGAAGTAGTTATAGTAGAAGAAGAGCGTATAAAAGACTGATTAAGAGCGTTAACATCATATGAGGGAAAAAATTTCAACACAACCATTTCTTTCAGACTACTCACTGAGACCAAAAGACCCAACTGCAGTAGAAGACAAAATCAACGCTATCTAAAAAAATAATAATAAGCACTAGATTGGTCAAAGTGCACGCCCCCATTTGATTCTCATACCAAGGAGACAAATTAGCTACCACAAGACAAGCATTCTTTTATATCAGTGCACATGTCGAGAATGATAAATAAAATATCTTATTACTCTAAAATTTTATGCAAAGTGTTTGCGGAAATTATCACAATTATTAACCTTTCGAACACTGAATCCAAAAAATACAATCTTATTGACAGATAATACACATAACTCACTGTTTGGATTTGTGGAATTTTTAAACATAAACACATCTATAATTGTATATATTGTTGGATTTATATGTTCAAGTTGCTCCAAGTCAGTGAGTTTATGGTTAAGATATCATTTTAGTTACATGTACTGAACTATATTGCATGTTGTCTTATTGTATAGTTGTCGTCGCTTTTTGCCCTTTTTTCTGTGAACTGTTTCCTTTGTTGATGTTGTTCTCATTGTTTGTCCGTTATTTTCTGATTTTGAGGGGAGCAACCCAAAAAGTTGCTTCTCTCTAAACTTTTACTTAATGTAATCATTCTTTTCTCAGGCGTGAGGCTAGCAACCCCACCCTGTAAACAAAAATTGCTACAGAATCTTCAGTATGCTGAACCTCCTTGCACCAAAAGAAAAAGTCTGTGTAGGAACATGGAACGTTCGAACTATGTACGAGACTGGAAAAGCTGCCCAGATCGCCAACGAGATGAAAAGATACGGAATACAAGTGCTGGGAATATGTGAGAGCAGATGGAATGGGAGTGGACTCACCAAATTGTCAACAGGTGAGTCAGTGATCTACTCCGGTCACCCAGAAGATAACCACACGCACACCGAGGGCGTGGCTATCATGATGTCACCAACGGCAACGAAAGCCCTGATACAATGGGAGGCGATTTCGTCCAGGATAATGACCGCCAGGTTCAACTCCAAAGGAAGGAAAGTGTCAATCATACAATGTTATGCACCCACAAACAACGCAGACCTCGAGAAGAAAGAAGAATTCTACAGGCAACTACAGGCAACAATGGACAATACTCCAGCTGGCGACATGAAAATACTAATGGGAGACATGAACGCCAAACTGGGACCAGACAATACGGGAAGGGAACTCATCATGGGTAGAGAAGCTCTAGGAGAAATGAATGAAAACGGAGAACTCTTCGCCGACTTCTGCGCCTTCAACGAACTGGTGATTGGTGGCAGTGTATACAAGCACAAAGATATCCACAAGGCTACATGGGTGTCACCAGACGGGCAAACCAAAAACCAAATCGACTTCATCTCAATCTCAAGGAAGTGGAGGCGCAGCCTACTGGACACAAAAGCAAGAAGAGGAGCAGACGTTGGCTCAGACCACTATCTCGTACAAGGGACAATCCAAATCAAATTAAAAGCTTTCAGGGAATCAGGAGCTGCAGATAGACCACAAGCCAAGTTCAACACTCAAAAGCTGAAGGACCAGGCTACAAAGGACATCTTCATTGCAAGCATAAAGGACAAAGCCGAGACACAAATCAACACTAGCGAAGAGGTCGGCGTTGAAAAGCACTGGAACAACTTGAAAACGGTGTGGAGCCAAACCTGCATAGAAATTCTAGGCAGAAAAAAGAGACAGGACAAACAGTGGCTCACTACGGACACTTGGAAACTAATAGAAGAGAGAAGGACAGTGAAGCAAAAGATTATCCAGTGCACGGACGAGCAACAAAAACAGGAGCTGAATGCAAGCTACAATACACTGAACAAAAGAGTGAAGAAAAGTGCCAGGGAAGACAAAAGAAAATATTATGAAACCATGGCAAACGAAGCAGAACAAGCTGCAGGCAAAGGAGACCTCGCCACACTCTACCAAACAACTAGGAACCTTTCGGGCAAACGTTCGACACAGATTAAGCCAATAAAGGACGACAATGGAAAGTCAATCACCAAAGAGGTGGAACAGAGAAAGCACTGGGTTGAACACTTCAAAAGACTTCTAAATCGTCCGCCACCTACAACACGTCCAGCAATACCAACAACGGAAGCAGAACTACCAGTGAACACTGACCCCCCGACGAAATCAGAAGTCCTGAATGCAATCAAGATGCTTAAAACTGGGAAAACACCGGGACCAGATGGAATCCCAGCAGAGGCTTTGAAAATAGACCCAGAGACAACAGCGGACTTGATGACACCACTACTGGAGAAGGTGTGGAAAGAGGGCAAAGTACCCGAGGATTGGAAGAACAGTTACTTATTCAAACTTCCAAAGAAAGGAGACTTAAGTCAATGTAAAAACTGGCGTGGAATTATGCTTCTGTCCATTCCAAGCAAGATACTAAGTCGCATCATCCTGGAGAGAATCAAACAAGCCCTAGATGAAAAACTTCGTCCGGAACAGGCTGGATTCAGGAGAAACAAATCATGTATTGATCAAATCGCCACTCTACGGATCATCATTGAACAAAGCTTGGAATGGCAGTCACCTCTCTATCTCAACTTCATCGACTTTGAAAAGGCCTTCGACAGCGTCGATCGAGAGGTCATTTGGAAACTACTTCGCTACTACGGGGTCCCATCGACAATTATACACCTCATCCAACAGTTATACGACAATGCTGCATGCCAAGTAATCCACAACGGGAAACTTACGGAAGCCTTCGAAGTGAGGACGGGAGTGAGGCAAGGCTGTCTACTATCACCAATGATCTTCCTGATTGCAATTGATTGGATAATGCGACAGACAACGGCAACCAACGAGGGAACAGGCATAAAATGGACTGACACAAAAGACTTGGAGGATCTGGATTTCGCCGATGATATATGTCTGATTTCCCATAAACTGGAAGATATGCAAATGAAAAGTAACAAGTTGGCAGAAGAAGCATCAAAGATAGGACTTCACGTGAACATAGATAAAACAGAGATGATGAAGATTCCTAGCCAACATCAACAGCAACAACAGACCACAATAAGCATAAATGGGAAGAACCTGAAAGAAACAACCTCCTTCACCTACCTGGGAAGCATCGTCTCAACTACAGGCGGAACTGACGAGGACATCAAAGCCAGAATCGGAAAAGCAAGACAAGCTTTCATTACTCTCAAATCTGTGTGGAGGTCAACAGCAATCAGCATCAAAAATAAGATCCGGATTTTCAACTCCAATGTGAAGTCAGTGCTACTATACGGATCAGAGACTTGGCGAGTCATAAAGAGCATCTCAAACAAACTTCAAACCTTCATTAACAACTGTCTCCGCTCAATACTCAAGATCAGATGGCCAGAAAAGATCAGCAACAGGGATCTCTGGGAGCGAACCAATCAGGAACCGATTGTGAAACAAATAGGCAGAAAGAAATGGAGATGGATTGGCCATACGCTGAGGAAACCATCAAGTGACATCACTAGACAAGCCCTCGAGTGGAACCCGAAAGGGAGGCGGCGAGTTGGTCGTCCAAGGGTGACTTGGAGGAGGTCATGTGAAGAGGAGATGAAAGCATGTGGGCAGACCTGGAGCAGGGTGAAAAAGTTGTCAGAAAACCGAAGTCAATGGAGGTGCGCAGCTGAAGCCCTATGTTCCTCTAGGAACTAAAGGATACAATAATAATAATAATACATGTCGAGAATTACAACCACTAGTTCAACGAAGAAAATGTAGAAATTTCAAAACAGTGGGAACACTAAAACTACCAGAAAATTCCTGGAAACCATGCACTCAAATGAATCAGCCAGCCATGAATAGACAAATTATTATTATTCGAATAAGTCACATGACAAATCAATAAAAGAGATCAATACTACTGGAGACTGACAACCAATCACAGTGAAGTTTGTCAGAAGATACAATTAATACATATCTCATTCATATGAAGAATTTAAATAAGTTTGTTTGTGTGCTGACAAGGTTGTTTAGAAGGCTAGTGAAAGCTTCACAATTCAACCAACATACAGTTTGGAGAATGCAACGACAGAGAAATTATCCACCTGTGGTACAAATCTTCTTTATTATTTCAATACATAAAATATTCGAATGCTGTTTTCTTTATCTTAGAAATTGGACGAATGAGTTGATACTTAATAATAAGGTATATATATATATGCTTAAAAATGGGTTTGTAAGGATTAGATTTCGCCGATGATATATGTCTGATTTCCCATAAACTGGAAGATATGCAAGTGAAAAGTAACAAGTTGGCAGAAGAAGCATCAAAGATAGGACTTCACGTGAACATAGAAAAAACAGAGATGATGAAGATTCCTAGCCAACATCAACAGCAACAACAACAACAGACAACAATCAGCATAAATGGGAAGAACCTGAAAGAAACAACCTCCTTCACCTACCTGGGAAGCATCGTCTCAACTACAGGCGGAACTGACGAAGACATCAAAGCCAGAATCGGAAAAGCAAGACAAGCTTTCATTACTCTCAAATCTGTGTGGAGGTCAACAGCAATCAGCATCAAAAATAAGATCCGGATTTTCAACTCTAATGTGAAGTCAGTGCTACTATACGGATCAGAGACTTGGCGAGTCATAAAGAGCATCTCAAACAAACTTCAAACCTTCATTAACAACTGTCTCCGCTCAATACTCAAGATCAGATGGCCAGAAAAGATCAGCAACAGGGATCTCTGGGAGCGAACCAATCAGGAACCGATTGTGAAACAAATAGGCAGAAAGAAATGGAGATGGATTGGCCATACGCTGAGGAAACCATCAAGTGACATCACTAGACAAGCCCTCGAGTGGAACCCGAAAGGGAGGCGGCGAGTTGGTCGTCCAAGGGTGACTTGGAGGAGGTCATGCGAGGAGGAGATGAAAGCATGTAGACAGACCTGGAGCAGGGTGAAAAAGTTGTCAGAAAACCGAAGGCAATGGAGGTGCGCAGCTGAAGCCCTATGTTCCTCTAGGAACTAAAGGATACAATAATAATAAGGATTAGATTTGTTTTTCGAGTTTCGCCACGGAGGATTGATATCAGTTAGAGAACCAGTGAAAGTCAGCACTGGAGTACTGGATAGCTGTTTGATCCTAGTTTAGGAATCATCGTCAGTACGCTTGCTAGTGACTTGCTATACGATGGAGTGAGAAGTGACCAGCGAGGTCCACCCACCCAAGTTTGAGGATGGATGTCCCACCAACGACATTGGTTGGTGCCAGTCAGGCTGAAATCACTAATTTTTAGAAGTTAGAATTCATCAGTTGGCCATTGAGGAATTGGGTTCCAGTACCTGAATAGTATATAAGCTTGCCTTGTAACCGAAAGGTCCTGGGTTCGAACCCTAGCAGTATGCGTGTACCGCCGATGATTCCCCAACTAGGATGAAATAGTTGTCCAGTACTCTCTGGCGGTTTTCAGTGGTTCTCTAACTGATATCAATCCCTGATCAAATTCGTAAAAGTAAAATTTATGTCACAAGAAAGGTAAAATGAGATTGAATAAGGTTGTGGTAATTAAAGAAGATGAACGATTCCTGTGTTAGGTTGTAAAATAAAACGAATAAAAGAAGGAAAACTGCACGCTAGCATTTATTAAAATAAGCTAACCCATTCTGCCAACAGACGTTTAGACTTTAGTGCATCTCGTCTGTTATCTATCTGTGAAGGCAGGTGGCTTAGTTAAGTGTCTAACAAATCGAGCAATAACAACAATAAGTCGTACCACAAAACCCTAAACGATGAAATGAAACAGATAGGAGAAGACGCGTTGCTGTTAAATGACTAACTATTCTATAAAATTCATCAGGAAGATCAGGAAAGGTTGAAAGCAAAATGAAAATAACGGAAAAACTAATAATAATAATAATAATAATAATGGCGATAACATAAATAGGAGAAAATATAAGGCATCGGTGGCATAGCGGTTAGGACGCTCGCCGACCATGCGCATGGTCCGGGGTTCGATCCCCAGCCGACGCACTCCTTTACCTCACTGGGCCAGAAATAATACTGGTAAAGGGGAAAGGTTGGGTATGAGGCTATCAACCCCATCCTGTAAAAATATACACCGCTACAGAAACTTCAAACCAATGGCTTGAAGCCCTATGTTCCACTGGGAACGTGAAGGAAAAATTATTTTATTATTATTATTATAAGGCATCTACAGTAGTTTTATCATATAAAGAGAAGGCATCTGAAACCCTCCCTACGTAGTAGGATTCTCAATAATGCACAAATTAGAGTGCCATTCAAACTTACTCACTCAGATAGGACAAGCTCTGTAGGTTGACCCAATTAAACAAAATAATATAATTTACAAAATACCTTGCGGTGAATGTGAATGGGGTCAACTACATAAATCGGTCAGACTAGTAGATCAGTAGTAGTGAGATTGTCAAAGCATAGGAATTTACTGGTTGAGTGTAGAATGATTGATCCCACCCACAAAGATAAGTGATTTCGAATAAAGCTCAGCACCGCATTGCACTGCATGTATGCATTAACACACAACCATACACGCAGTGGGGTGTGTGGGACAGAGTCAAAGTTCTAAAAAGTAATACAGGCAAGTAAAGGGAGAGAGAGATTGATTAGTGAATCCTGCCTGGTTCATCGAGTCTGCACACGCAACACCTGCAATAGAAGTGACTCAACGCAAATACCAGAGATATGGAAGATATTATTACCGGAGGGTAATAAGTAATGTTAAAATGTATTCCATTCACATTATAACAATCTAACAAGTTTCTTATTTATTTTACTATAAAAATATCTTATTTCCCAACTGATTGTATTTTATCGACCACACTAATATTATCTCCGAATGTACTTTCTCATCTTATATCGATTTTTATTCAAATGCCTAATCATCAATTTTTACTCATGTATGCAAATGAAGCAAGAAAGTTGTGTTAGTGAATAATGCCTTGATATGATTACGAGCAATAGCAACAAATGGTGCTCAAAAAATGCTCATCGGTAAATATTACTGTATAAAACTACACGGTATGATTTCATCAAAATAAAATTTTATCCAGTATGGAGTTATTCTCTACCACAGTGCCCAAGTTTTATGCTTATATCTTTCTCTTTTTCATATTCAATTAAAAGGAGCAACCTGTTGTTGTATCGTCTAGGTAGGTGATAGCATTTGCATAGCTGATTGATATACTCTGACTCATAGTGAAAACCAGGCAACTATGTTGATCATCCTTCAGTAATCATTTCGTTTACTATTCGTTCTTTGATCCAATAAAACCTTCCTAAATCTTGAGATTGAATAATTATCATTATGATGATGTATAGTTCCTCAAAATTATTAGCCTACAGCATAAATCACTCAATACTAGATGCTGAACTGCACTGTTTAAGTCGATTTGTTTAACTGAAGGCTCGCAGTCAAGCATGTACGCCATTTGGCACACCGTCGAACTAAGTTCGGTTTTTCATGCTCAATCTCTAGCTAGTTAAGCAGTCGTCCTCGCGATACTAAGTTGTTTCTTAAATATACTTCGTATTTTGGATGATCATTTCTGGTGTTTTAATCTATCTTTGGTCTACGCGGAACAACTGCTATAGGAGTTGTAGGTATTATATCTTGTGTTAGTATATGTATATGTCGTACTTTCCATCGACGTCAACACATCTTCTTTCTCTAAATTGGTGAGCCCGACCACGAACTTCATCTTCTTTGGTAAACACGCAAACAAGTCATGACTTTGTTCCATTTCATATTTGTTCCATTGTGATATTTATTATTATTATTATTGCTCCCTTGGGTTCCTAGAAGAATATAGGGCTTCAACTGCACGTCTTCACTTGCTTCTATCTTGCTTCTGCTGTACATTTCACCTGCATCCATGCATATTAGTCCATACTGTCCATACTGCTCTTCACACGATCTCCTCCATGTCACCCTCCCACTGATGTCCCACTCGCCGCTTCCCTTTCAGGTTCCACTTCAGCAGTGGGCTGACCCGCGCGCGATGTCACCCAGCGGCGGCCTCCTCAGTGAGTGTCCAATCCATCCACCTCCACTTTCTCCTGCATATTTGTTCAGCAATTGATTGGTTCTTGGTTTGTTTGTTCCTTCCCATATTTTCTTGTTGGCGATTCTTTCCGGCCCGGCCATCCGACTGATCTTCAGTATAGAGCGATAGATGACAGTTGTTGGTTGATGAAGGTCTGCAACAGGCTGTTGGAAATATTCTTCCTTGTGATCCGCCCGCCAAGTTTCTGATCCGTATAGAAGAACTGACTGACTTGACGTTGTTTGTATTGAAAATCCGACCGAATTTTGTTGTTGATGCTGGCTGAGTGACGAAGATTTCCAGATTAGATTGGTTTCAGGTTGATGAGTGAATGTGTTAGTTACTCGCCATCCCGATTCTCACTCGATTTGACATCCTCGTCCGTTCTGACTTCCTGTAGTTGAGACAATGCTCCCTATATAAGTGAATGTAGTAACCTATTTCAAATCCCACCCGTTGATGGTGATTAGCGCTGGATGTTGTTGTTTTTGTTGGTTGGTTATTTTCATAACCTCCATCTTGTCTATGTTTATCTGGAGTCCTGTCTTTGCTGCTTCTTTCACCAGCAGTTTGTTGGTTTCGGCATATAAGTCTTCGATTTTGTGTGACATCAAACATAAATCATCCACGCGCGAAATCCAGGTCTTCTAGGTTCATCACATCTGTCCGTCCTGGATATCCCTCTCTTCTCGTTCCCCACTCACCGTCTGACGCATAATCCAGTCAGTCCACCACAATTAGGAATATCATTGGTGATAATAAGCACCCTTGTCTGACTCCTGTATTGTGATATTTAGTATATTTTAATCCCATTTTACCATGAGTAATCATACATCAGAGCTCATCTCTATCTGACCAACTAGCTACCCTATATTTGAGCTCGTCCCGTTTCGGCCAGACAATGCAGAAACATGGGATCTACTAACCCGGGTTGACTTCTGTGAATATGGAATCACTGACCGACGTTCACAGTTCCTTGCAGTTTTACACGCTCTGCCATGGGAATGAAGTAAATATGTTACTGAAAGAGCGTTCAATCCAGAGGTAAATAACCCTATCAAGATGCTTAAAGCAGCCCTCCTCAAGAGGAACAGTCTGTCGGATATGCAGCGTCTTGATGGACCCTTTTGCAATGTCCAGCTAGGCGACCATTTGGCTGTACATATGCTTGCAAAAATGCAAGAAGTTATCTCCTGACTGGTCCTGTTGCCAGCAGTAAATTGAAATCTACTAAACAGGAAGTGTGCAAGTTAATATGATTATGAGCAATAGTTTGTGCTTGAAACTTGGTCATCAGTTAATATTACTGTATAACACTGTGTGATTTATCAAAATAAAATCTTATCCGTAATGAAGTGTGCGAGTTGCCTGATACCGATGCGTGGGCGTCAGACTAGTTATGCACTGTAGGCAAATTAAACGTTGTCTGATTGGTAGATCTCAGTTTACAGAGCAACAGGCTTATAAGCCGATTGTGGTCTCTATTCACCACTCAATAAATAAATTTACAGTCCTGTGTTTTGAACGGCCTAGGAACATATATATATATATATATATATATCTTTTTCAAGCTAGAGCAGATAAGTAGATAAAGTGTAATACTTACGTTGTTTATAAATCGTTCCACAAATTTCTAAAAATCACGTTTTTAAAAAAAAAGCAATACAGAAACGTCTGTTAAACAAATATTAATCTTTATACATTATATTATCTAAATATTTTGTACTCGTTAACATATGGGTATTGCACATTATCCTATGATTTTAGGATCAAGGAAATCAAAGATGAAATGCCGTAAAAACAGCATTCACTGCTGCTGAATTACGCTGTGTCTTTAAAACCACCGCCTATTTTTGCATTCGGGAGTTAATGATAAACTGCCTAATTTTGTTTCTTTAATGCATATCTACGACTTTGACTGCTCTTCTGGAGCCGGTTACATAGGCCGCACAATTAGGCGTGTTTATCGTGTTTCTGAACATCACATTGAGTGGTGAATTAAAGGACAAACAAAATCCATTCATAGCGCTATTCTTTCTCATCTTGTGAAAACAGAATACAAGATTTAATTGGTGTATGGTGACTAGCAGTGGAACCCAGGATAACGCGGATTTCATCCTATTTGGTACTTGTCAGCAACTGGATGTATCTGCATTCCTCAGTGAGTGGTGATGTTCCCACCGAGGCTCGAACCAAGTGCCCATAATTTCAAACGCCAAAGCGTTATTTACTAGACCAGTTAGTCTAATTAATATGCCCCGTTGCACAAGAGGTCGCTCCCGTGACCCAAGTGGTCTAGTGGATACCGCTCTGGTGTTTGAAACTATGGACACTGGGTTCGAGCCTCGGTGGTAACATCATCACTCACTGGAGAGTGCAGGTACATCCAGATGACGGGTTCCAAATAGGACGAAATCCGCATACCAACAAATCTTAACTTCAACTGAGGAATTCGTCTACTAAATATTGCTGAGGCTGTTTGGAACCACATTGAGAAAGTCAACTTGCATATGTGTCCAAAAGAAGCTAGTTCAGACATTTTTCTTAACCTGGCCATCTAGGTTAGTATGATACTCACCTTTTTTGTAGAAATTTCCTTAATTTTAGTTGGTATTCTATTTGCCATTATATCTTTATTATTATTATTCCTGTACCAAGTCTACCGTTACAGTACTGCGTTAGTGTGTGCGATTTCAAATAGACTTATCTAGTACGGATTCGCATTCTCCTATGCCACTCAAGTTCCAAACTAACGTCAAATGTTCAAGTCTATGAGCCTTTGCGAATTGCTACCCCCATCAAAAAAAAATTTGCCGACACGCTGAGAAATTTCAAATCGAGTCCACTAAAGACCTTACTTCTAAATTGATGGAAAAAGCTTGTAGCTTTGACCATAATGTGTATAAAATGAAATGAGTTTGTAGAATCAAGATCATTAGTTTCATTTGGGAGGTCCAGACTAGAACAAATATAAAATATGAAAAAAACTTTGCCAAAGACTCTGATTATAGAAAACTTAAGTGAAGGTATTCCGAAGAATCCTCAAAAGTTCTTATTCAACTTATCAGTTCATAAGCTGAGTCAGATGGATACGGAAACACTGTCACAAGGATTCGAATTCCACATTCCTGACGAAATATGCCAACAAGGCCAAGTTAAACTTTAAGCACCACTAACTACCAATCAGAGAACGACGTCGAATTATCCAATGAGATTCACGAACGTTAGTTCAGAGTTGTATAGCGCTTGATTCATTTAAAATGCATGTTCTAACAAGGTTACGGTTGCAATTCTCCAGTATCGCCTGGATTTAGGGTTGCTCCGGAAGGAGCGTACTTGTTCGTGTGGTGGTGTCATGACTTTAAAAAGCTGTAGCAGGTGAACTGATGGATTTGTCCATATTTGTGCAATATGCTTGAAGTGAGTTAACATTAGAGAGAGTAAGCTGATAATTTTGATATTTCGTAGGAACTTTTTTGCAAGGTCACACCTCTTCTTAACGCAAATATTCCATATCTGCAACCCCTGGGTCTTGAAACAACCAGTGGGAGCGGCCGCTGCTGAAACGGAGAACAGCCTCGCCTCAACAGATCAGTGATATCAGCATTGCAGAGACAATGATTCGTGGAAAATGGAGAAAATCACTTCTTTGTTGGGTGGAGAAGACGTTGTTGTGCACGTGGATGAAACTGTGTTGGTGAAAAAGAAATACAGTCATGGTCGTCAGCGAGCGAACAATATTTGGGTAATAGGTTTATACGACACCTCCCTCCGAAAAGGATCCGTGGAAAGAATAGCAGATAGAAAGGTAACTACTCTGATATATATTATTACCAGACTTGTGAAACGGGGATCAATAATACACACAGACGAATGGAAAGGTTACAATTCCGTCATCTCTGGGATATATTCATCATAAAGTCAACCATTCAAGTGATTTTGTGGATCTTGTTAGAGGACATATACAAATTCTATTGAAGGATTTTGGGGTCGGTTGAAAAACAGGATAAGGGCTACAAATGGATCTCAAAAGAATCTCATTTATAGTCATTTGGATGAATATATGTACAGAATGTGGTGTAACTTTTCTATTGACAGTTCGATGCTTAACTGGGAGATGTTTCTCTCACATGTTAGGGAAAGATACCCACTGTAACCGTTTAATACTTTTTTTATGCTTTTTTCTATAAATATACGTTTCCATTTATCATAAATGTCTCTTTAATGTGATTGGTCAGTTCAAGGTGGTTTGCTGATTGGTTGTTAGTGGTGTGGAAAGATTTACTTTGCCGCCAACAAAACTAACTTCGAATCCCACTCCGAAAGTTTGCATCGTCAACTATCTGAATTAAAATCAGTAGAGATGTCTAGTTCACTTGTGATTCTTGCTTTGTTCAAGTTTATTACAGGGGCGGGTAGGGTGGGAGAGGAAGTGTCTGAAGTTTCAGGAGAAACGTCTTTCTCGCCAATCTTTCAAGTCAATGAATCCACTGATGACTATAAAATGCAGGATAACAGCGGGGAATAACTAGGCGACATTTCATCGAATACTATTCATGAAATGTAGACAATAACTTACTCTCTGCATACGTAATGTTTGTGGATCTTTGAAATCAATATTTTCCCAAACCGATCGTATTCTCTAGTGAAATTAAAGAAACGAAAATAAAATTAGACAACCAACGGTATATTTAATAACAAAAAAGTATATATATGGTCAGTCAGATCATAAGGAAGTGTGTAATTGTCGAATAAATGGTTACCAACCATACAGGAGGTCCAGATCGACCCACAGGGTGTGAAAACATACGAAGACAACGAATCACGTTCAATCTAAGGTAATCAGGAGAGATGACTAATAAACTCGTGGAGAAATCTTAAAGCTCACTTCATCGAAATGAAGTGTATACGCTGAAAATTATGTTTATTTATTTTTTTATATTTTTATTTTTGATTTACAGCTTGATTCCACGCTGTATTTTTGGTACAAGTGTGGAATTTTCAGCATGGATATCGGTGGCCCAAATTCTGCAGGCCGACCATAGATATCAGGTGTGCGTCGGCGGGTGCTCGAACCCCGGACCATATGCATGGTCGGCGAGAGTCCTAACCACTGTGCCACCGACGCACAATGAATGCTTTGGAGATAAAACATTAAGCTCAGAGAACGCAACTACATTAAAAACCATCCACCTGAGCTACAAATTCTTTCCATCATACATAAAACCGACTCTTCAAACCTTTAGGAATTGACGTCGTACACAAACCAACAAAGTCGTTTCACTCAGCTGGCTCTGTGTCAACCAAAAGAATCAACAGTGAAAGAAGATAAGACCAACATCATCTACAAAATAAATTGTAACAATTGCGAAAAACACTACATTGGCCAAAGTCGACGTCCCCTTCATCTTTATATCCATAAACATGAGCTAGCCGTCAAAAGACATGATATCCACTACTTCATATTGCCCCACTGCATAAAGACAACGACGGACACCGATTCGACCGGGACAACCAACGTTCAAATATCAGACAGAGGAAACACCAAAAATGCCAGAGAATTTTTAGAAGCCTCATATTCCAGTGAATCGTCAGTTAACAGACACATTGACATAGACAAAACGTAACAATCGATAAGAAGGAAATCTCACACAAAGGGTCGAACTTCAAGTCAAGGAAACAATCAACACCAGCACCAATCGAAGTAGCGATTATTAGCTGACTTGATGATCACTGGATGGATTTCCTGAAAATTCATCGGGAAGTTGTGACCATTGAGGTTCGCCATGTCAAGATGAAGTGGATTTTCGTCAATGTCATTTCAGAGGGGAACGCCATATCATCAAATGACAAAGGTACATTTCGTGGGTCTCCAAATTCGAGCTCCCAAGTCTCCGATTGGTCACCAAGCTCTCCTAGTAACCTGATGATCTTGGATTCGATCATTGTTGGGTGGGACCACTTGTGCATAACGCCGAAGGGTCCTAAAAAAAAGAACGAAATAGCTGTCCAGTTCTCCTTGTCATCAAGCCTGAAGTCCTAGTACTATCTCAGACCTGAATTTCGGTAGAAAGGCTTCCAACAACAGCTCATGTGTCGCTTTTAAAAGAAAATGAATTTGTTACAGCATTTTTATTAGGACAGAAAAGAATATTGATCATACATATTTGATCATTGCTATTATAGGTCAAGCTTCTTGACCATTTTATTATATTGATTTTTTTTGTTTTTTCACTAGTTTTTGATATTGTTGAGTTATTCTGGTTGTGTTAAATATTCGGCATAGTTGTGAACAATTCACCTTCGATCTCCATTTGTAAACTAGTTCAGGTTTTTCTAGCTTTTTTTTAAAATTTAGTTTTCGTTTATTCAACATTTTGAAGTTTGCCTTAAAATTAAGTGTGTTCTCACTAGGTTTGCTGTCAATAGTTTCAATTCTCTACAGGATTTCATCACGAGCTGACATTGGTCACAGAACCATTGGAAAACCTGGGAGTTTTTCTATAGTTTGGTTTGTAAGGGTTAGTTATGTTTTTACGAGTTGATCACGGATTGATATCAGTCAGAGAACCATTGAAAACCAGCGACAGGGAGTACTAGACAGCTGCTGTTTCATCCTAGTTTGGGAATCATCGGCAGTACGCACCCACTGATGGAAGTTAGAATTCATGAGCCATTGAATTGGGTCCCAGTGGCTGAATGTTATACGAGGTGGCTTGCCTTGTAAATGGAAGGTCCTGAGTTCGAATCCCAGTGGGTGCGTACTGCCGATGATTCCCAAACTAGGATGAAACAGCAGCTGTCCAGTCCTCCAGTGCTGGTTTTCAATGGTTCTCTAACTGATATCAATCCGTGATCAACTCGTAAAAACCTGGGAGTACTGGACAGCTGTTTCTTCCGTCCTAGTTTGGGGCTCTTCAGCAGTACGAACCCACCAGCGAGGTTCAAACTCATGACCTTCTGGTTACAAGGGAGCCCGTATACCATTAAGCCACTGAAAACCAATCTAATGGCCAGCCCATGGAATTCTAACTTCTGCCAATTCACGACATAGCGTGAACGCTAGTCAGTGTCTTCGGCGAGTATTTGTCCTCACCCGACCTGCTACACCCTACTGTTCACGACTTCCCACCAGGACCCCAGGTCTCTACCTACCTGAATAGGGTAAGTCGCTAGTGAGCACCTCATTGAAATTCAAGTGTTGGTTTGTAGGGATTTGGTTGATTGGTTACAGGATTTCATCATGAGCTGACATTAGTTAGAGAACCATTGGAAAACAACCTGGGGGTACTGGACAGCATTTTCGTCCAAGTTTGGGATTCTTCAGCAGAATGCACCCACCAGGATTCAAATCCAGGAGCTTTTATTTACAATTCTGTTTTGCCTTATGAGTGAAATAAGTGTTTTGAGAGTCATAAGTCGTTTTTGAAAAATCACCTATTCTTTTCTTATTGTATAATTTATGATTTTAAAATTTTCCAGTGCCATTTAATCAAGCTGTTATGAGATCGATTCGTAGACATCTGATTGATTGGTTCATAGACAGTGTTCAAATCCACATGTATGTTACATTAACCCTTCAGATATATTTATTTTCACGTATTGGATTTGTAGGGATTTTGTTTGATTGGTTAGAGGATTTCATCATGAACTGACATAGGTTAAGGAAACTATTGGAAAACCACCAGGGAGAACTGGACAGCCAACTGTTTCGTCAACCTAGTTTGGGACTCTTCATCAGCACGCACCCACCCCATTGCTGGGGTTCGAACTCAGGACATTCTGGCTGCAAGACCAACGAGCTTGTTGACCATTAAGTCACTGGGACCTGCCAGTCCATTGGCCAGCCCATGAATTTTAACTTCCACCAGTGCATGATGTACACAGCGCGACCACATCGCAATGTCTTCTTCAATGAGTAACTGTCCTCACTTTCGATCTTCGTGAATTGTTAGAAGTCTGAATTCATGCAATGGTCATTGGATTGACGGGTCCCAGTGGCTTAATGGTTTAACATTTACAGTTCTGATTGCGCTGACTCAGAACTTGCCTTCCTAAAAACCAAACTAGCAGAAAATGATTACACGAATCGTATCATTGATATAAACATGAAAGGCAGGCAGTTCAAATAGGTCACTGACTTAATTCTGCAGAAGACCATCTGCATGAATTTGGAATACAAAGGTGATCATCAGCCTTCAGATATGCTCAAAAATCGCCTATCTAAATCAGTCAGTAAGACGCTCTTTGCAGCAAAGTTACAAATGACTTTATCAGCCGCATGTTGTTCTCCATCTCTGTAAAAGATAAGCTCCCCGTCTGATCGCTTCCATATGAACCTATCAGTTCACCTGCTCTTGTGGATCAAAGTACATTGGTCGTAGCCAGAGAAGGCTTTCCACAACATGTATACGACAGCATATTCTAGCATGGTTTTACAAGGGAGAAAGGAAGTGTGTGAGAAGCTCTATTCTAGAACCCCTGATCGACTCCTGTCACTCTACCAACCCTGACTATGATTTTAAGACGGTCTACCAAATCCATGCTAAATTGCCACGTTTTCTTCGTCACAAAGATAGCAGAGGCCTTGGTCATTCATGAATTTAAGCCAGACCTTTAAGTACAAAAGATGTATGTACAATCCCTACTTCTGCATTGGCAGTAGAGGGATAGACATTTATTTTTTTATTTTGTTTATTTAGTTAATCTATATACCTTTCCCTTATTACTACGATCATTATTATCATTACTATTCTCACTTTGAACTGTTTCCACTTGTCCCACTTGTCGTTCTAAATCCAAAATTATATATTTTTTTACAATAGTCAATTCTACCTTATCAAATTTCACACCATGTTATTGTAACATTTTATATTCGCCTACTAATCCTATAATTATGTACCCCTTTCCAACATCTACACACCTTATGTATTATTCTATGACTCTAATCGTTTTGCTACTTGACATTAAACTGTGATTAAAATCACAAGTATTTTAATTGCATTTTATACTACTATTATAATTTCATGTATTCACACCTTTGATCCAATCCCCTCACTGGATATAATTTCTTAAAAATTATATATATATATGACTGTACAGCTTGATAATAAATTCATTGAAAGGAGTCTCTGCGGTGATATTGTATCCTCAGTCTAAGCAATTCACAGTTTCCACCATTCTTGACAAAATATTACACAATTTTATGCAAAATTACTTCTTGATTGCATGGAGGATTTTATCATGAGCTGACATTAGTTAGAGAACCACTGGAAAACAACCTTGGAGTACTGGACAGCTGTTTCCTCCGTCCTAGTTTGGAACTCTCAACAGTAAGCACCCACCGGGGTTCGAGCCCACGACCTTCTGGTTACAAGACTAGCGAGCTCATAGACCATTGAGTCACAGAGACCCAATCCAGTGGTCCTTGAAGTCTAACTTCTGCCAATTCACGATATAGCGCGACCATTTCACAATATCTTCTTCGATGAGTTACTGCCTCATCTTCGACCTGCTGTACCCTACTGGTCACGGCTTCCCACTAGAACCCCAGGTTAACTACCTGAATAGGGCCAGTCACTAGTGAGCATTAGATTAATTTTCAAGTATTGGTTTTGTAGGGATTTTGTTTGACTGCATGGAGGATTTCACCATGAGCTGACATCAGTTAGAGAACCACTGGAAAACCTGGGAGTACTGGACAGCCAGCTGTTTCTTCAGCCTAGTTTGGGACTCTTCAGCAGTACGCACCCAGCGGGGTTCGAACCCAGGACCTTCTGGTTACATGGCGAGCTCGTAGACCATTGAGCCACTGGGACCCGATCCAAAAAAATTTACTTCTATTCAAACATTTTCCAGATGAAATTTCAACGATAGTAAAATCCCTCCTTTTCCTACAATAAGTTGACATGAAAATATGCTGTTTAAAGGCAGTGCTCCTACAGAGTATGGTCATTTTAAAAAAAAATGCGTAAACATCATGCTTAAAATTAATTGCTTGTTTAAATACTGCTAATATAGAGAATTGTAATGAGTTTTTAGATATGACTCATTTGATTGGTTAAAAAAGATGATAGAATATTTCATCAGTCGTTTATAATTGGTTGCTTTCATCACGTGTTTGGTCCAACTTTCAGACTTGCTATATATACAGCAATTATCTTTTGTACTTAAAACTTACATTGAAGTCGATAAAAATGAGTCAGTCAGTCAATCAGTATTGCTATGATCCTTATCGCTCAATTTATATTTCACTGTGCATGAATTATAATTTAATATATATATATCTGAGATTTTCAAAAGGAGGAGACTTTTCAATCCGATGAATATGGTTAATTTTAAGATTGAGAATGGAAGAGTATGCAATAGACACCAAAATCAAATGACCTTGAAGCAACCAATCAAATCGTTCATCATTCAAAATGGATGCGGTTCATGAACTTCGTTGTAAGTTTTACCCAGATTTAGTTTTTGACTTCTGTGTGGAAAATGTGTTGATAGGGTGGTATTAAACCTGCATATGTAGAGGGAAAATGACCCTACAAAAGTATTGCCGGGCTATTGATGGTTACGCAATTCGATGCAACCATTGTTACATGAGGAAATCTGTGCGAGTCGGTAAATCGTACATTATGGTGATTTCTTAGATACTTTCTTCTCCAAATCGAAATTTTCCTTCAGCAAAATATGGCATATGTGCCATAACTGGTTATTAAAGCAAACAGTATCTGCTACAGCTGCAGAAACGGAGAATACAAGGATTTCAACAGTGCAGTGGTATCAGTACTGCCGTGATATTGCCTTACAAAACCTAATAGGGATCACCTCTGTACTTAGAGGAGTTGGCGTCGTCGTGCATGTTGACGAAACTGTGCTTATTAAGCGGAAAATGAATCGAGGCAGAAGTAGAGCAAATCATGTTTAGGTGCGGGGACTTTACAACAAAAATCTTCGTAATGGGTTTGTAGAACGCATCCCAAAAAGAAGTACTGATGTCGTAATGCCAATTATACAATGGCTAGTCCTCCCAAGAACTACTATTCACACAGACGAATGGAGAGTTTATCCTCAATTGTCATCATTAGGTTATCTTCACCACAAAGTCAACCATTCTTCTGAACTGGTGGATCCTGTAAGAGGAACGCATAGAAATTCCAATGAAGGATTTTAGGCTCACCTCAAAAAACATATCAGAATGGTAAATGGTTCCCAAAGTGATATGGTATATAGCCCTTTAGGTGAGTTTCTGTATCGACATTGGTTTAATATGTCTATAACCACTGCTATGACAAACTGGGACCAGTTTTGCAGCATATTAGAGACATTTATCCTGTATAATTCATTTTTATTACATATATATGTTATAAATACGTTTTTTTCAATTGATTTTATGCCACTTTTTAACCGAAAGAATCCGATTGGTTGTTTCAAGGTCCTTTGATTTTGGTGTCTATTCTTTACTGTTGCCTTCAGGTTACAACACTAGACAGTTATTTCCTTCTGGATTTGGAATTTTGTTAACAGTGAGTACTTATGGACTGAATTTTACGAGTTTAGCTTGTTGACTTTTCAATCATCGAGCTGGACTTCAATAATCTGGGACACTGCGTTATATAATTAATGTCAAACTGTCCAGTCCTTCTTTTGGTTCTACATGAGTTTATCAGTCGCGAACCTGAATAGCTCAGTGGTAATGTCTCTGACTACAGTACTCACTAGGTGATATGGAGTTCGAATTTCAGAAGAGACATGAGTTCTTTCAAGATTGTAGACATGCCCTGCTAACTGGTGGTGAGTGTCAACTAGCTCGAAACCTATATGCTGGCAAGGCTTGCTGACAGAGGGTTATTTCCAACCCTCTAACAGCAGTTCTTACATTCATTAATACCGACAACCGATTACATGAATAAACACATGATATATCCCCTTATCAGTGAGTTGAATTGTTGACGAACTTTCCTTTTTAGCTGAAGTTCCTGAGATTGATGCCTAATTGAGGCATGAGTATGCACTGATAAAGAGTCCAAAACCAGCACGTGAAACAACAGTCCAGTTGTCCTTTCTTTCTAGTGATCCTCTAACTAATGTCTGTCCACGTCGAAATCTACACTAGATCTAATCCGAATCCCTGAAAAAAAAGTAAAACTCTGAGTAACGATAATTTGTTTCCAAAGAATGGTTACTGAACGAAGAATACTCTTTTCGATAACCTGTTCTTCATCAGCCTCTACAGTTATATATACATATATATATACATTATAGCGAATGAATCAGTGATATGAACAACATTAATGTTGCGAAAATATTCATTCAGACATCTATATAACACAAAATAATTGGGCAAAGAATATCCTTTTCGATAATCTCCTCCTCTTCTAGCTTTACAATTATATATATATGCATGTTTATATACATAGAATATTCTAGAATGGTAGTCAATAACAATATTAGTATTTTATAAATAATATCGATTTGTTAGGTAAGATCGCAATGGAATTACAGCTCCCTAAAGATGCATACATTATAATAATAATAATATTACAAAAAAAAATATAGAATATCAACTAAAATTAAGGAAATTTCCACAACAAATTGAGGATCATTGAAACCTAGATGATTAAGGTTAGGATACTCTGTCTGAACTAACTTCTTTTGGACGCATAAATTAAGCTTCTTAATGTGGATCCCAACAGCCAGCCTCAGCAATATTTAGTACTGGAACTCTTAAGGCGAAGTTAAGATTTGTTGGTATGCAGTGAATGACTTTGATAGCCGCCTCGTTAACATCAATCTTGTGTTCTGTCGCATCCACAAGATGAGATAGAATAGCTCTGCGAATAGATTTTGTTTGTTCTTTACTTAACCACTTTGCATGGTGATATTCAGAAATATTAATGTTGTTTAAATAAAATCGAATCAATAATAATATGAATGGATTACAGTTCAATAGCATCAACATAACAATATACTAAATGTCAGAAAAATTGGGAAAGAAAATAATACAAAACTCATGAATTTATATTCTCCACTGAAGGCTGACCAGGGCAGTGGTAGTGGCTAGCTGAAGTTGCTTCTGCTTCACACAAAGCACTGGTTGTTTCACGTGAATAGCGATAACCTTTGCTGTTTCGAGCATGCGGTACCTCGATGTTTTTGGCAATTTATTTGGTACCCGGTTGATGATAGAGAAGGATTCTTCAATGGTGTCTTTGTGACCGGTTTGGACCAGATGGTCTAATATCAAACTGTTGACGATGGTTTTTACTAAACCTTTACCTAGCCATACTGGGAGATGTTCGCGGGCGAGCACGAAAAATCAAGTTCCTATAGCAACGGCCGATGTAACTCGCTCCACATGCGCAGTTGAATGATAATTGTGCGATGATACAACGGGCAAGATTACGACTGTTCAAAGAAAGCACGAACAGCTCTTTAGTCTTGTCAACTGATCTACCATTGACATCCAACTACCTCATAAAAATAAAAATCATGAAACACTAGACGTACAAAACTTTATTATTTAATTCTATTGTGGATAGGTCTTTGACGTCTTAAACGATGAGAACTGGGTTTGAAACTATACCATCACCTTCTGGGGATTACAAGCACATTCAGATGACGAGTGCCGAATAGGACCAAAATGCCCAACCTAGATTCCATTGCCAGTCTTAATAATTCGTCAAAAATTAAAAACAAAACTTCTGTTCTTTACAAAAAGAGAAAATATTAAAAGCGAAACAAAAAAACTTACTTGACATGAACGATGAAATAATCTTTTTTCAACAAAACATGGTATACCACGATTCGATTGTCCAGCATACCTGCTTACAAAATACAATTTCCCGCCAATGTTTTGCCCTTCTTTATCAGTCTGTTGGTGTAATGAAAACAAGAAAGACAGAAAGAAGTCAAGAAAACGATTGACATCAATAAATCACATCATTTATTTATAAACAAAAGCGGTACGAAAACGCTTTGCTAAGGTTAATCTTTTTTTAACAAAAGCCATCCACCCTAGTGGTGTTTGAAGCTTAACCTGATAAACACACAAATGCACACTTAGATTGGGAGATTCGTGTTGACAGGATAAGTTACGGATTTGTGGATGAGTCATATGAAAAGAGAAGACGTTCAGAGAAGAGACTCTTTCCAACGGCAAATTCATTCACAAAGCTGTACAATCGCATTTATATACAATTATTTGTGTGTGTGTGTGTGTGTGTGTGTGTGTGTGCGTGTACATGAGGTTTGTCAAGTTTAGATAATTAACCAAGTAATACAAGAATGATCTAATATAGAAACAAGATTAGTTAGACTGCAGCTTAAGTAAGATTGAGTTACTAAGTTAGATTGACTAATTGACTAAAATGTTTCAACTTAGGTCAGGAGGATAGCAACAGAGGTAATTACAGGTAGAGACTAAGTAGAAGTGGGATAAAGAATAATGCCATTTAAATTAGAACTGAAATTGAGCAAATAAATTAGATGACATAAAAATAAATCGTTCTGGATAACAATTATCGACAAGGATTTTCTTGAGATTTTCCAGTTCGTCTTCCATGGAATCCGGGTTGCAAATTCTGTGAACTCTGTAGCCGAGTGAACGGATCAGGTTTCGTTTGGTGTACTGAGGTACCCAACTGTAAAAGTTCGTAAGATATCCGTTCCACGTTGACTTTCTATAGGTAGATCTTTTCAGTGTTCCGTCCTGTTCTCATCTTGTTAGTTGAACGTCAAGAAAGAATATTTTGGAGTTAGAATCTTTAACACGAACTGAATCGCCGGGTGGCAGCTGTTAAAGGACTTCAAGATGTCGTCTAGATTTTGTTCATTGTTGGCGATAATGAAAGTGTCGTCGACGTATCTCTTATAGATTTCGGGGGTATCGATCATTTTCTTCAGGCATGTGTTTTCGAGTTTTGCCATGAAGAAATCTGCAAGCGATTGGCCTAGTGGTGAGCCCATAGCTGTACCATCCTTTGGGCAATATACTTCGTTGTTAAAAGAGAACTGAACATTCAGAGTACACCTCAGTAGTGGGTATACCCATGTTTATTCCCTTTGAATGAATAAGTTCGCATACATAGCATATTGTTTCAGTCAGCGGAACATTTGTGAGTAGTGATGTGACATCTAATGAAATCGTGGTCTCGTTGAATAAGTTGACGTTTTCAATTGAGTCGACAAAGTCGAGTGAATCTCGAATTGTGTGGCAGAAAACTTGTATTCTGATTGGTTCTAGTAGGTCTGCTAACCATTGGGCTGTGTGGTGACAAGGCGAATTGGTCATGTCGAGGATCGGTCGAACATAGATACCCTTCTTGTGTACTTTCAGTAGTCCGTAAAGTCATGGTATGTATTTGAACCAGATGTCTTAGGGGTTCGAACGTTTGGTTTCTGATGAAAGATCCAGTCTTTAGCTTAGGCAGGGTGTCCATTAGCTTTTGTTCAGTCTGTTCTGTTATATTTTTCTCGTTGACCGGTTTTGTGAGTTTGCATTCATCGGATAGCATAGTCAGCATTTTACTGATATAATCCTTGCGATTCATGACTACGATTCTCCCACCTTTATCAGGACTTAAAACCATGATCTCTTCGTCTTTCATAAGTTCTTTCAGCTCCTTCCGAAAAACGAAGATATTATGGTTTTAAGTCTTGATAAAGTTGGAGGAAATGTAATCATGAATCGCAAGGACTATATGAGTAAAATGCTGACTATACTATCCGATGAACGTAAATTCAAAAAACCGGTAAATGTAATTCACTAGGCATTTTGTTCCATACATCAATACTGTTCGATACGCCTTTGTACTTCTTTGAGGAGTCGGTCGCCTTTGTTTCACAACCTTCGTGTAAGCGTGTTGTTTCCTGTATATTATATAGACTGATAAAGTTCACGTTAAGTCACCCGAGTTTTAACTACAGTGACGTCTAGACTCTATCGTCGGTAGTGATGGTGAGGACCAAAAGTCTGTGGGCAGATTTAATTTAATTTAATCCTATCGGGCTTTCCACGTCTTGATATGAAGTAATTGAAAAGTAGGTGGTTTCTTAAAGACGAAAATTAATTCAAAATCCTGTACAGTTGTTGGTACACTTAATGATGAGGATCGTTCAACAATGTGACTTTTGTTAGAGAACCACTGGAAAACAACCTTGGAGTACTGGACAGCTGTTTCCTCCGTCCTAGTTTGGGACTCTTCAACAGTACGCACCCACCGGGGTTCGAGCCCAGGACCTCCTGGTTACAAGACTAGCGAGCTCATAGACCATTGAGTCACAGGGACCCGATCCAATGGTCCTTGAATTCTAACTTCTGCCAATTCACGACATAGCGCTGCCACTTTGCAATATCTTCTTCGATGAGTTACTGCCTCATCTTCGACCTGCTGTACCCTACTGGTCACGGCTTCCCACTAGAACCCCAGGTTAACTACCTGAATAGGGACAGTCACTAGTGAGCATCAGATTAATTTTCAAGTATTGGTTTTGTAGGGATTTTGTTTGACTGCATGGAGGATTTCACCATGAGCTGACATCAGTTAGAGAACCACTGGAAAACCTGGGAGTACTGGACAGCCAGCTGTTTCTTCAGCCTAGTTTGGGACTCTTCATCAGTACGCACCCAGCGGGGTTCGAACCCAGGACCTTCTGGTTACAAGACTAGAGAGCTCATAGACCATTGAGCCACTGGGACCCGATCCAATGGTCCTGAAAATTCATCCTGAAGCTCACTAGCGACTGGCCCTATTCAGGTAGTTAACCTGGGGTTCTAGTGGGAAGCCGTGACCAGTAGGGTACAGCAGGTCGAAGATGAGGCAGTAACTCATCGAAGAAGATATTGCGAAATGGTCGCGCTATATCGTGAATTGGCAGAAGTTAGAATTCAAGGACCATTGGATCGGGTCCCTGTGACTCAATGGTCTATGAGCTCGCTAGTCTTGTAACCAGAAGGTCCTGGGTTCGAACCCCGGTGGACGCGTACTGCTGAAGAGTCCCAAACTAGGACGGAGGAAACAGCTGTCCAGTACTCCCAGGTTTTCCAGTGGTGGTGATGTCAGCTCATGATGAATCCCTCCATGCAATATGACTTTTGGTTATTGCTCCGCTGAATTCAGTTGATTTCATTTAGTTTTGATTTAACAGAGGTAAACAAATCAATTTTGAGACTTCTCATTGATTTAAAAGTTTGTATAGAGTTTTATTAGATTTCATTTCTAGAAAAAGAGAGCATTTATATTGTTTCATCTCAAAGTTACATATTTATGGTATTGTGCTTAAGTACTAAAGTATATCAGTTGAGTAAGGCAGCAGCATTACAACTCGTATCAGCTCCTAAATCAAGTAATACAAATAGCTGAAGAGACAGGCATAAAATGGACTCACACAAAAACTTGGGGAATATGGACTTCGCCAATGTGATATATGTCTGAAAAGCAACAATTTGTCAGAAGAAACATCCAGAGAGGATACAACTTCAGATGAACATGGAGAAGGTGGAGACAGAGGTGATGAAGATTCCTGGCCAACAGCAGCGGTAACAACAACAGCCTGCATAAATGGGAGAAATCTGAAAGAAGCAACCTCCTTTACCTACCTACCTACCTACCTGAGAAGCATCGTATCAACTACGCCGTGTCACGAAGGGCACTTCAGACAAACTACAAACTTTCATCAACAGCTGTCTTCGCTCAATATCACTTAAGATCAGATGGCCGGCCATGAAAGATCAGCAACAAGGGGGATCTCTGGCAGTGAACGAACCAACCTAACAGGTACAATATGCAGGAAGAGGTGGCTTGGTAATGCTCTGAGAAAACCATCAAGTGACATCACATGACAGGCGGTGGGTGAGTTGGTCGTCAGTGTGAGGGTGACATGGAGGTTGTGACGTGGAGAGAAGATGAAAGCATGTGAGTGGCAGACGTGGAGCCAGGTGAAAACGCTGGCAGAGAACCGAACGCGCAATGAAGACATGCGGCTGGAGCCTTATGATCCTCTCGGAACTAAAGGAAACAACAATAATAATATAATATTGAGGTAATCAGAGTGAAGATCATAATTCACACACACATACACACACACACTATTCTTGTTATTTATTTTATTCCTTCGAGTTCCCAGTGGAACTTAGGCTGTCAAGCTAAAGCTTTGAAGTTTCAGTATCAGTGGTGTTTATTTCTACGGGGTGGGACTGCTAGCCCCACGGCCAGTCGTGCCTAATTACCTGGCTTACTGTCAGCTTAGCGAGGTAAAGGAGTATACGTCAACTGGGAATCGAACCTCGGACAACTTGCTTAGCTGGCTAGTGCTCCTCCCTCCCCCCCCACTGATGAACCGCCGTAGCACACTCAGACGCTACTGTTTAATAAGGATAATGATCAGTGTTGTGTGTATGGTAATTTAATTTCACAAAGATGAGAAACTACTGTACTGTACTCAGAAGCATGAGGAACAACAAGAGCCAAATACTCAACACCAATCTGAAGTTACTCAATGCTTTTCTGGATCCCTCAGGTGACTTGGTGTACGACACGTCTCCAAAAGCATTTTTGACAGGCCAGTAAAGACTTTTATCAGGAGCAACCCACTACTCCACCTCCCGCCCCAAATGAGAATCAGATGGCTGGTCAGGAAGAAAATAAGCGACAAAAGTCTATCAAAGGGAGAAAAACCAACCTAGAAATTATCACTCAACAACTATGCAGAATGAATATTGATTTTTCGGATCCGAAAAAGCTAGAGAATCAGCATTAGGAAAATCAAAAACCACACAAATCAAAAAATTCAACAAACTAATTGAAGAAAATAACACAATAAATGAAACTGACGTCAGCGTTTCATCCTCTGTTGACAGAAAAAAATGGGTGA